AAGAAAGAAAGAAAGAAAGAAAGAAAGAAAGAAAGAAAGAAGGAAAGGAAGGAAGGAAGGAAGGAAGGAAGAAAAAAAAAGAAAGAAAGAAAGAAAGAAAGAAAGAAAGAAAGAAAGAAAGAAAGAAAGAAAGAAAGGGAGAAACTAGGATGCAGTACTCATCACCTGAAGGACCGGGTCACTTCTCTGGGTTTCGAGCAGGTGACCCTGGACAGCGCCAACTCTACTCAGACTGGAGGAACCTGCAGTGCCTTGCCAGCTCCTGCAGATGTCAGCTCCCCAGGCTTTGGCAGCTTCTCACTGCCTCTGCTCACCAAAGCCCTTGTGTGGCCCAGGGGAGGAGCTAAAGCTGGCAGTGAGCAGGGTTCTGGGGGGCAGACGAAGGGGTGCCAGGCTGAAGGCAGGGGTGTGCCTCCTCCTTGGCGGACAGCCTGGCCTCTCTCTGGCTTCCTTACCTTGTCAGACTCTGCCTTGCTTACCTGTCTGCCTGTCTCCTCTCCATCTGCCATGTCCTCTTCAGAGGCGGCGGCTCCCACCTCACACCGGGGCCAGGTCTCCTGTGACAGAGGATGTCTGTGCGGGAGACTGGGAGTTCCAAGGTGCCAGCTACCCTGAGCCTCCCTGGATTGCACCAGCAATCCCAGCCCCCAGAGCACACTCGGAGGCCAGACCTCAGCAGGAAGTCATCTTACAAAGATTTCCACCGGGGCCAGCAGTGTGTTTTTCTCTTAATATTTGAAGCCAGTGGAAAAATACGTGGGACTCAGAGGAGCTGAAGTTGGTCATATTTCCTGTTCTTCATTCTCTGACTTTCCTGCCTGGGTTTTAGAACCAGAAGACTGGAGTTCCTGTCCCAGATGAGCCCTGGCTCCCTGACAAAATCACTCCCCTTTCAGGCACTTCATCTGCAAGAAGAGACTTGGGCCCAGGAAGCTATGTGTCAACAGGTGTCTCCAACTGGTTCCAAGACAGGCGATCTGAGCTCAGGCTTCCGAGAGCAGCTTCCCGGTGCACTGGGGAAAAAGGATGTTGTGTTACATTCCTGCTGGGAACGCTATCCAGAAGCTGAGGGTCTGAACCGAGCAAGCAGGGATTCTTCTGGGTGGGCCTTGACATCAAGCTGCCATCAGTCAGCTCTACCCAAAGATGATGAGGAAGCCAACGGAACAAAGCGAGGAGGCGAGCAGAGAGCGCCAGGCCCTGGGGTCAACCTGAGCTCAGACTGGACGAGGCAAACCAGCCCAGCTCCTGGGGTAAATTGCATGATTCTGGCTATTCACAGTCAGATGATCCTAATGTATATACTCAATTCTACTTACAGTTTTTGGAAAAGAGGAACATGATAGAGATTAATAGATAATTATATAAACATTCCTATCAAAACAGCATAGAAGCTGGGTGTGGTGGCACGTGCCTATAATCCCAGCACTTGGGAGGCTGAGGCAAAAGGACTGCTGTGAGTTTGAGGTCAGCCTGGGCTACACAGTGAATTCAAGGCTAGCCTGAACTGCACAGAGAGAATTTATCTCAAAAATAAACAAACAAACAAACAAACAACATGGAAGCCACGCACGATGATGTACAGCTGCAATCCCAGCTATTTAGGTGACTGAGGCAGGAAGACTATGCCAGTTTGAAGGCTCAACTTGGTGAGCCGCTGTCTCAAAAAATAAAAAGGAAAAAATAAAGAAGTAAAAATAAAGAGCTAGCGATGTAGCACAGTGGTGCAGCACCTGCCTGGCAAGCCAGAGGTCCTGAATTTGATTCACAGTACCCAAAAAACCAAAACCAAAATAAAATAAAATAAAAAGGGCTGCGGATATAGCTCAATGCTCCAGCATCCCTAGGTTTGGTCTCAACAACAACACCCAAAAAACAGCTTGAAAGAGAGGTCTTTAACAAAGTATTTAACCATTTAACCTCTCTGAGCCAGTATTTCTTCCTTTGTTTGTAAAATTAGTTTGCTAATATCCACTTCCAAGAATTATCGTCAAGACTAAATCAGATAACTTGAGTGATGGTTCTCAAATAGTTGCTGTAATAAATGAACTTGGACCCTTACCTCAAACCACATGCTGAATTTGACTCAAAATGATGAAATGTAAGACCCAGTACTACAAAGGGAGGTAGGAGGAAGGGAGGACAACAAGGGAAGGCAGGAAAGACGAAGGAAGGGAGGAAGGAAGAAAGGAAGGAAAGGAGGAAGGGAGGGAGGGAAAAAGAATGGGCTCTATCAAAACAAAACTTTTTGGTATGATACTGGTGATTGAACCCAGGGCTTTCACACCACCCCTTTTTTATGTTTTCAGGTTTTATTGTTGTTGTTGTTGTGCTTGTTTGAGGCAGGGTCTTATTAAATTTCCCAGGCTGGGTCTGAATTTGTAATCCCCTGCCTCAGCCTCCTGAGTAGCTAGGATTACAGGCATGCACCAGCACTCCTGGTTGCTAAAAACTTTTGATAAACTGAGCATACCAAGTATTGTTATAGGATTTTTTCTTTTCTTTTCTTTTCTTTTTTTTTTTTTTTGGT